TAAAAAAAAGGAGCAGTTAGTTCCATTTGTTATCTATAACTCTGTTTGTTTTGTATGTTCAATAAACCTGTTTGATACAAGTTTGTGCTTATTTGTATGACAAGTGATGTACTGAATCTATTATTATCCTTTAGAACAGGAATCGTTCTGGCTCAGACACTTTTCTTCCTCAGATAACACTATCAGCAAAATAGATCTGAAGGGAGTGTCATAATTTAATTATTGTGTGGAGATCTAAACCCTTACCAAATTATGACCCAAGGACTCAGCTCCCAGGGAATGACAGGTCTATGGAAACTATCTTGGTAGCATGAGTGTATTGTCTCTTGTGTACATTTATTGTACAAGTACGCTGATCATAGGACCGAACACTCAACAATGTCCATGTTATGACACAAAGAACAAAACTCCAGGGGCAGGGTCAAACTCCTAGAGCATGATTGTGTACATAATTTCATGCACAGCAATCATTTATATGGTAATGAGGTATCTGGACCGTTTCCATGTTATGATCCAGTATTTTGAGCAATTAAGTCTCAAGGGGTAGGGCTGAACCCTGGTGACAATTCTTATAGCATAGTTGCATCCATCCCATCTTACCCAGCAGGCATTGGTTTAAGGTGGGAATCTCAACCATTTCAAAGTTATGACACAAGGACTACATATCAGCAGATGTAAGGTTATTGAGTAGTCTTGTTCAACCAGAATCTTGTCTGCTCAAGCTACACCAAACAGTCTGGTCAAACCCTATGATATTGTTTTGTGAAGACATAAGGAGGCTTACCAGAATTCTGGTAAATTATTTCATTGGTCAAAGGTAGACACACCCTTTTCAAGTCAGAATTTGAGTGGCGCAAAAATTGCATTGAATATTTTAAGTTGTGAAAACACTTACCTGTACATGCATGCCTGAAGTATCTGTGTTTTCACTTTATTGAGAAAAATGTAGGAAAATGCTTCAAATCTCAAGAATGATTGCATGTATTTTCTTTGGATATTTTACAATAATTCATGAGACTAACAAAGCTATTGACATAAGTCAAGCCAGATTACTTGAGTGAGAACCTGATGAGGTACAGGTAAAATCTCACTTGCTTTGCATGCTTTTTTCCAACCTCAGTCAGCCTTAATGGCTTTGTGCTCAGTTATGATTTATTCAGTAGAAATATATGGCATTATTCTGGAGATTGGACACATTTTCTTACATTTTTCTCAGTAATGGTGAATAAATGGATACTTCATTAATTTCATTATTCTTTGAAATGTTTAAACGGCATTGACATAAGGTTCGGAAACGAAAGTAAAAACACTGCCCTCTGGTGATGGTAATTTTAAAGTACTGTGTTTGACCAGACTCTTGAATTACAAGTGATCAAGTGTCTGGTTGAGCTATTGAGTAGAGATTTCAACTGTTTTTTTTATTCAAGACTTTTGTGATCTAAAAAAAAGTCCAAAGATAATACATGACATGACAATTCTAGGCTTTGTGGAACTTCAAATTTTTAAAACTTTTTACCTGTTAAAGTTGACACGAGATCCCAGAGGGATCTTGGCGCCCACCTTTGTACCATCTTCATTAGTTCTTTGTCAGTTCGATCTTTTCTCTTCTTTCCTCTAATCTGTTTGATCGAGTCATGTTAACAGTAAATGCACCTGGAGGTAACTTTTGATCTAAACTTAATACTGATGTGTATGAAAGCCAACCATCAAAGTGAGTTTGTCATTTCACATATTTACTAGTACAGTACTTAATGTGAAAGAAATAGAATCGATCATTGCAATATGAGAAAGATCTGTTTAGTTCTTCTTTTAATCCATTTTGTTTTTATGATCAGTCTCAAAATATAACATACACAACGAGGGATCAAGGGGAACCTACATTTAAAATTTGAGAAAGATCCCT